AGCTGAGCTCGCCGACGCACCCCTGGGGCCTCCAGAGCTTCCAGATCAACGCGCCATGCTCTTCGATATGCCTAAGAATTCGACAGTGATATGGCAAGCCGTACCACGCATTGCACATTAAGGGAGGCAAACATCTCCCATGACATTTCCGTACAGTGGAAATGAGCAGGTGAATGAAAGATAAAACATGGTATAAAGACTGCATCGCGGCAAAACATCTGGAAGACTTTCCGCTACTCAGATGCGGTCGCGCGTCGAGCACGAAGTCATCATATCTATAGGCTCGCGCCACTGGAGCCCAAGCGGCGGCGGACGCAGGCGCGTCGGGATGAGCCGAATGACGAGCCGCGCCAAGCTAGATTACAGATGCAACTGTACTAGCAGCGGCACCGGCCGCACAGCGGGCAATCTTTCTTGCCGCAGCAATGAGGTCGCCAAAAGAAAACATGAAGGCGAGAGACTCACGGTGTAAGTGGCCAGCTGCCAACAACAGAATTCCTGAAAGCGGAACAAGCTTGCCTGTGGCCAGGCGGGGGTTTCAAGTGGAACCGAAGAACCGAAAAGAGCACAAGGCCCGTTGCCGGGCAGGATGAGGCATGTGGTCTTGCGGGCCTCACGCATCAAGCGCCAAACCTCCGTGGTCTAGGCTCAGATGCTGTTGCCTGGTTGGCCACGTGCGGCATGTATCTCTTTACCCCACATTCGATTACCCGCCAATGCTGTTAAGAGAAAATCACGATCAATGTAACTGTCGGTGTGTCCATCTGCCGTCATATCAAATATCACAACCTGGGCGCGGCGCTTGGCGCTCGAGCTGGGGTGTGGCGTGGGCGCCGTTGCAGATGCGCTGCGCATCCTCCGCCAGGAGGTTCCAAAATTCAAGTTTCTCCTGGGCTTCTACAATTCCCAAGACTGGGGCGAACGCTTCGAGTTCTTCACGGTTCAATAGATGTCTCGACGGATAACGATCATCATCCTACCCTTGAACCCATTCACTCCGAGCTTGCAATCCGCGGTCCACTCGGGATGCGATCGCAGGCGCTCCAAGATCGGCTGGTAGACGCGGCTGATCTCTCTCTGATGGTCACGGACGTCGAACGGTAGATCTGGGCGACTGCAAAGCTGATGAGCCCGACCATCACGATGGCCGTACCACTGGAGCGAGGCGACATTCACATTGTCCGGAAACTGACTAGCGGCTGCCAAGGAACCAGAAAGCAGCTTGTAGTTCTGAGCACCTTGTGGAACACAGGTTGCACATCTTGGAGAAGGATCGGGCTCGTATCCACGAGCAGCTGGAACTGTTTGTCTGGCGAACATTATCATGGACTGGCCTTGAAAGTGTGCCGATGGACCTCGCGGGCGGGTTGCCGAGCGCCCGTGCGCCCCAACCCTGCTGCGTCGAAGGGCGAACCTCCGACCTTGATAGTGCAAGACTCGATGACCTCGAATGTCCCATTGTTGGGCCGCCCTTTATCTCACTGAGTTGGGCCTGGCCTGCCCGAGGCTTCACGTCGACGGCGGCAGCCGCTGCTTCCGAGATCGCGTGCTGCAAGTGCTTCTCCATGCGGCGCAGCCTCTCACTCACGTCGCTCAACTTCAGGTCGCTGGAAGAATTGCTGCATGACGGTGGTCTTCGCGTTGGTGGAGGTATCCGCCTTGGGCACCTCGTGTACCACATCGACGCGCGTGGCTGGTCGGAGGAAGCCGAGGATGGACAGGGCGGACTGATACTCAACGAAGGTGGGGAGTCAGAGAGGGACGTGTTCTCTCCGCGGCGTTTCTTACCCTTCTCACGGCGAACCACTGCGGCAACTGCAGGAAGACAGACGCATGGGAATCGGAAAATGTACGAGGAGCTGTACCGCGTACACAAAGAGGCGGAGCGTGCGTTGGTGCACGTCTGCCGAAGAGCGCTACCCTGATAGCGGATGCCCTGCCCTGGCCCAGTCCTCACGGCTGCAGGCAAATTCAAGCCGCCGAGGCCCCGCGGTTTGAACTTGAGCCAGAATGGCAACGGCGAGGAGGAGAAGGGGTAGAGAAGGAAGAGGAAGGGGAGAAGTGGGAGGAGGAAGGAGAAGAGGAGGTTCCCCAGCTGCGCCCGCAATATTTCGGGAGTTAGTCTCATACCGTTCGGTGTCCTCTTCATTGAGTATGGTTATAATGAGGGTTGTGTTCCTCCTCCCCCTTCCCAAACTGCATGCTGAATTACTCTACGCCCTTGCGAGGTCCTTGATCCGTGTCTCTGTGAGCGTGTGGCTCCGCACTTGCCTGCGATGGAGGATGGTGGCTTCACACCGAACTCTCCCTTCGTCGCAGGCCGCGGCTGCTGCCGAGGACCGCCGACCTGGGCGCAGACCACGCTGGATCCGCGCCGCGCTCTCGCGAGCTTTGCGAGTCTCGCCGCAGCAAGCGCAGAGATAGAGGCTGTGGCGAGACCACGGCTGCAAGACCGAACATCCCACCCGGACATCCGCCCCCCGCCGCACCTATGATGTCGGCAGGATGCCGGGGCGGCCTGCCAAAGCTTCACACTGTGTGGGAAGCACCAGCTCGACTCCCAAAGCTAGCAGCTTTGACAAAGCAGTGAGTGGAGATGGACAGGGCCTGCCTGAGAGCAGGCGCGGGAGGAGTAGCGCTCGGGCGTCCAGAGGGCCGCGAGAGTCGCGTCTACGAAGGCCTGGCGGGCTCGGCGGCACGCAAAAGCGCCGTTGTGCAGTCCCACGCGTCAGTGTCGGGGGCCATGCCTTCCAAAGCGGCCGACCACGCCCGCCGAGCAGCTGAACCTGCCAGCTCGTCTGCTGCCGCGCGTCCCTGTGCCAGCTGCCTGTTCCTGTCCGGCAAGGATGGGTCGCTTGGGTCAACGTGGCTGGGAGTCCAGGCGACCCGAAACTCGCCGCTGCGCTCAGCGAGAGCAGCCTTATCTAGCCCCCAAACGTTGGCGTTGGGGCTGTCAGCTGCTCCCAGCCTTGCAGGAGCGCGGCGCAGTCCGCGACGTGCACAGCGTCGGTCATGCGAACGACTGAGGGGCCAGCGTGAAGACTCGCAGCTCAGGTCTCGGGACGGTCTGGTGCCTCCCGTCGAGCCAGCAGACAGCGCATGCAAAACGCTCCAGCCCGCTCGCGGTGAGTCTCATTACCACCGCGGCGAAGCCAACGCGACGTCGTTTAACGTCGCCTTTTTACTGTCCTCCTGAGCTGTCCCCGAAGACGATCAGAAGGGACTCGACTGGTCAGCCTCGGGCCGTGAGGAAACGTCCCCCTCCTCCTCCACTGTTCACACCCGTCCTACCGCCCCCGTCATCCGGGAAGATAGGAGAGAGTAATTAGGTGCATGGAAGGAAAGCCCCGTAGTCAGAGCGAGGGCGTCTGCTCATGGCCCGCCAGGGCCTGCGGAAACGACACAATCCGAGGCCTCGTCGGACAGCTGCCCCCGATTGCACGGGCACTCCCAAACCCTGTGAAACACAGGTTCGTTGGCAGGACCGCACCTCGGACCAAGGGGGACGCGTTGTATCCCGCAGCGATGAAGGAGGAGGAGGAGGAGGAGGAGGAGGAGGAGGAGAAGGAAGAGGGGGAGAATGGAGGATGAAGGAGGGAGGAGGGGGGATGGGGAAGAGGTGGAGGAGGAGACGGAAGGCTGCGTCGAGACGAACTCTCGAGCCACTAGGTGCCAGGTGGAGGACGCGGAGGAGGGATGGGGAGGAGAAGGAGGAGGTGGAGGTGGAGGGATGGGGAGGAGGAGGAGGAGGAGGAGGAGGAGCGAGCTCTTGGCAATGGCGTGCTGCAGGAGAGCCCCGGCCGCGGCGCGCCCAGCGGGGCGCGGGCGGGTGGGCGGCGGGCCGGGGCGTGAAACGGAACGCTGCAGGCACCAGCCCTGCGAGAGAAGAAACGTGTGGGTCGCCTCGCGCGGCGGGCGCGAGGCGAGCATCGCCAGGGTCGGCGGGGGTCTGTGGCTTGCTGGCGGCGCGCGAGAGGTGGGCGGGGGAGACGGGGGCGGACCTCCCAACAAAACGGGCGGGCTTCTCAACCGTGATTTTGGTCATCGATGTCGGCCTCAGGCGCCCGCTATCTGGCCACGGGGCCATCAAGGGGGACCTCGAGGAGTAGGTTCGGCTAGTGGACACGTGCATTTCTAGGTTTGGGGCTTCTAGGAGAGATGCGGCCCGGACAGGGGTGAGAGCCTTGAATAAGCTGTGAAGAATTCTGAGTGCCAGACCGGGCGGTCCAGGGGGGGCGGTCTCGGGCTCCCCGCCCCCCCTACGGGATTACTCTATGCCGCTCTTCGCACATCCTTCTCTCTCTCTCTCTATATATATATATAAGAACCCTCTGACCACAGGGAATGGATCGGGACCTCTGGGGCATCGTCGGATATTGGGAGAGAAAGGTCACTGCCCCTCGCTGTGGACGCCCAGCATGTCTGCCTGGTCTCCGAGGGGTCCTTTCCCTACGAGAGGACATCTGGGAAGGCAGCGGGGCATCTACAGCCAAGGAATTGCCATCAGGAACCTTGGCTGATTGGGCGTTGCTGTGTGTGCCCTTTTTTGGCCCCAGGGGCCCCCTTCAGGGTCCTCAGGTTCATTGCCCCCTCACTTCGCCACCCCCGAGCTGAGGAACGAAGCCCCATTCCGAGCCTCGGTCGCGCCCACTTGCACCTGCGGAGGCCTCTCAAGTAGGGCCAGAGCAGATTAGGGGGTCGGATGAGCGCGCCGCATCGCCGATGCATCGGCGACGCATCGGCAACGCTGGAGCGTCGCATGCATAGGACTCCGGATCGCGCCGCATCTGCTCTGGCCCCAGGTGGGCGGCCAGAGCGAGAAACGCTAGGGGAGGACCCGCGGAAAGGCGCAGTGAGCATCGAGCCCCTGCCGAGATCAGGGCGGGCCTCTTGCCTCAAAGTTTTCTGAATACAAGGAGGCAAGTGAAGGGTGCGCTTCTTCGGAGGGACGCCGCCCTCGCCCTCGCCGAGTGCCAGTCAGAGGGCAGGACGAGCTTCGCCAGGGTCATCAGTGGGAGCTTGTGGTTTCCCTGCCCCCGCCGCCGGTGCGCGGACACCCCTGGAGCGAAAGTGACCTCCTCACCCTAGCTAGTCACGCCTCCAACCCTGCCGCCTCCCACCCTCGTCCCTCCCTCATCCCTCGTCCTCACTCCGCCCTTGTCCCGTGCTCTTCCCTCCTCTCCTCGTTCCCCCTTCGAACTCTCTCTCTTCCCCCCCGGCCCTCCTCCCTGCCTCCTATCTCTTCCTCCTCCTCCTCCTCCTCGTCCTCCTCCTCCATCCCTCCACAGTCACACAACATGTGTACTACTCTACTCTCTCGCCTGATGTCGTGAGGGTCAAAGGCAAACCGTATATCGTATACGATGCTTGCACACACAGGAAGGGGTCGAATTGCCTTCGGAACCTGGCTTGTGAATTAGACCTCTGTTCTGCCCTTGAGAAGTGGTGTTTTTGCTGATGCGCTCGCCAGATTTATGATCACCAGGTAGTCTCCGTCCAGTCTAACGACGCTGTCGACGCATCAGTGGCAGCGGTGGTTGTACCCTTGCATGCAATCAAAACGTTTGCTACCTTTGAAAAGTGATGCTCTCGCTAGTGTAACCAGGAAGTCTCCGTCCAGTAGAACGACGCTGTCTCCGCAACTGTGGCAGCTGGTCTCCAATGGAAAGGTGCTCTCGCCGCAGCGCTGACCGTAGCCCTGCATCAGCAAAAAAGGGTGCTTCCCCTGCAGCATGCGCCACATGGATGTCCACAAACCTTCCGTCCAACGGATCGGCGCTCTCGCCGTGGCGCTGGCCGCCCCCTGCTTCCGCATGTGCTGTGTGACTCTCCAGAGGTGGCTCTTGCGTGCCGTGCTCTGCTGTGTGGACATGAAGGATTTTCCCGGCACCCGAAAGAAGGTGGAGGGGTAGGACGTCAGATATGGCGCAAGCGCACCTAGCTTGCCTTCTACTTCTTACCCTCCTCCTTCCTACCTAGTCCTCCTGCCACTGCCTTCTCCTCCTCCCTGCCCCTCCCTCCTGGACCCCCCCCGTCCCGTCCCCTCCCTCCAGCCGCCCCCAGACCACCAGCCAGTCAGATACCCGCCACAGACCCGCCCCCAAGGAGGGCCCTGGGCGCAACCACCTCACCATCCCCTCCCCACCCTCCTCATCCTCCTCACCCTCGACGTCGACGTCGACGTCGTTTTTGTTTTGGACGTTTTGGAGCGTGTCTGAAGGATCACGTCGCTGCGGCTGGTCGCTGCACGAAAAATTGGCAAGGATGGACTCTGGGAGGGGTCTGCGGCCAGAATCGATGTGAATGGGTTTCTCCTCATGATCTTAATCCCCATCGTCACCATGATCATGATCACCATCGAGATCACCATCGCCATCGCCACAATCATCGCCGTCACCATCGATCTCATCCTCGTAATCGTCAGCATTGGAACTATCAACCTATATCATCATAAGTCACAAGCATGCTCACACACATCGCCAACATCGCCAACATAAAGTACCAGAACTATCATCAGCACCACCACCAGCATCACCACCATCACTATCGCCATCACTTTCATCATCAGCAGAATCACCCTCATCATCATCATCATCCTCATCATCAGCATCAGTATCATCATCATCATCAGCAGCAGCATCATCATCAACATCATCGTCATCATCATCATCATCATCATCATCATCATCATCATCATCATCATCATCTTCTTGATCCTCATCATCATCGTTATCATCATCACAATCATCATAATCCTCATCATCAGAATCAGCATCATCATCCTCATCCTCACCCTCATCCACATCATGCTCATCCGCATCTTCATTCTCACACACATCATCAACAACTACATCATCATCATCAGCATCATCATTCTCATCACCACCATCACCATCACCATCACCATCATCATCATAATCAGCAACATCGTCATCATCATCGTCATTGTCACCATCACCATCACAATTACCGTCACCATCATCCTCATCATCATTTTCATCCTCATCAACAACATCATCATTCACTATCAGCATCAGAATCGTCATCGTCATAGTAATCGTCATCGTGGTCGTCGTCACTACCATAAAAGTTGTCATCGTACACGATCAATATCATCATTCCCCTCCTCCTCCCCCCTCATCATCATCATCATCATCATCATCATCATCATCATCATCATCATCATCATCATCATCATCCTCATCCTCATCCTCATCCTCATCCTCATCCTCATCACCATCATCATCATAGTCCTCGTCCGCCCCCCTCCCTCTACCGCCTTCCCCCTTCCCCTCCTGGGAGCCGCTGCTCTCGTGGCGACTGCGCTTGAGCTGTCAGGAGCTGTCTCCATTCTACAAAAACACAATATGAATCCGACTCTCCCCAAGCGACGTCCGGAAGATGTCCCGACCCCCTCCGCGTACTGTTTTTCCCAAAACCATCCTGCGGTGTTGGGTCCTCGTTTTGAAGAGACAGAGCCCCGCGTCCTCCTCCCTTCTCCTCCTCTTCCCCCCCTCCTCCTCTCACCCGTCATCATCACCATCATCGTCATCGTCATCGCCGTCATCAGCACCATCACCCCTCACACGCTTCGTGCCACATAAAGGAGCTCCACCGAAGGCCACTGTGCTGCCGGCCGCATGCGTCCCGCACACCCATTTCGGCACACCCCTCACACGCTTTGTGGCCCCATAGGGAGCTCCACCGGAGGCCCCAGTGCTGCCGGCCGCATGCGCCCCGCACACCCAATTCGGCACACCCCTCACACGTTTCGTGGCCCCATGGAAGCTCCACCGAAAGGCCCCGTTGTTGCCGTCCGCATGCGTCCCGCACACTCAATTCGGCACACCCCTCACACGTTTCGTGGCCCCATAGGGAGTTCCACCAGAGGCCCCAGTGCTGCCGGCCGCATGCGTCCCGCACACCCATTTCGGCACACCCCTCACACGCTTTGTGGCCCCATAGGGAGCTCCACCGGAGGCTCCAGTGCCGCCGCCCGCATGCGCCCCGCACACCCAATTCGGCACACCCCTCACACGTTTCGTGCCACCATAGGGAGCTCTACCGATGGTCCCAATGCCGCCGCCCGTATGCGTCCCGCACACCCAACCCAATTCGGCCACCGAAGGCCCCAGTGCCGCCGCCCGGATGCGGCCCGCACGCCCAAGTCGGCACACCCCTCACACGCTTCGTGGCCTCATAGGGAGCTGGTGGTCCCGACAGCTTCCCTACGGCCGATGTCTTCGTCGTCGTCCGTCGTCGACGTCCGACCTGCGCGCGTCGCGGGGGTTCCGCATGGCGCGGCGCCCGCAGCCTGGAACTTTGGAATGCGCGGGCAAAGAGGACGGAAAAAAAGGGGAGGAAGCGGGCGCGATCCTCGTGTGGGGCGTGCCGACATGGGCGTCGCGGCGCGCGGGCGCTGCCGTCGGGGTTCCCAGGACAACTCCCTGCGGAAGCTACGCTCAGTGTCACGAGTTCTCAAAGTCAGACAGACCCAAACCATTCACAGTCGTAAGCATTTACATTAGGCGACTCCATGCTCGCAGTCATTCAAATAGAACCCATCGCACGCATTATCATTAAGAATCAGACTAACTCGCGCTTAGACTCGCCCGCGTTCAAGCTTTCATGCTCAGACCTATCGTTTTCGTTCGTGTTGTGTACCCTATCACACAAATCGGCACACCCCTCATACGGTTCGTGACCCCATAGGGAGCGCCGCCGAAGGATGTATTCACAATTGCGGTATTCACAACTGCGTATGGTTGGGTCCTTCGCCAAGCTAATTTACACACGGGATTCCCAAAAATTTGGTTTTCGCTTGGGTTTCGTTCCCAACCATACTGTGGTGTTGGGTCCTCGTTTTGAAAAGACGGTCCCGCGTTCTGCGTTCCTTCCTTCCTCCCCCTCCTCGCCCTCCTCCCTCCTCCCTGCGATTCACCCACCCACTACAGCGCTTCGTGGCCCCATAGAGGAGCTCCACCGAAGCCCCCAGTGGAACCGCCCGCATGCGTCCAGAAACACCCAATGTGGTATTTCCACCCACCAATTACAACTTTTTATGGCCCCATAGGGAGCTCCACCGAAGCCCCCAGTGGGACCGCCCGCATGCGCCCCGAAACAACCTATTTTGCATTTTCACCCACCCGGTGCAGCGCTTCGTGGCCCCATAGGGAGCTCCACCGAAGGCCCCACTGCCACCGTCCGCATGCGTCCCGAAAACCCAACGTGGCATTTTCACCCACCCAGTACAGCGCTTCGTGGCCCCATAGGGAGCTCCACCGAAGCCTCCAGTGGGACCGCCCGCATGCGTCGCACACACCCAATTCGGAATTTTCACCCACCCAGTGCAGCGTTTCGTGGCCCCATCAGGAGCTCCAACGAAGCCCCCGGTGGGACCGTCCGCATGCGTCCCGAAACACCCAATTTGACATTTTCACCCACCCGGTACAGCGCTTCGTGGGCCCACAAGGAGCTCCACCGAAGGCCCCAGTGGGACCGCCCTTATGCGTCCCACACACCCAATGTGGCATGTTCGCCCAACCAGTAAAACGTTTCGTGGCCCCATAGGGAGCTCCACCGAAACCCCCAGCGGGACCACCGCCAGCATGCGTCCCCCCCACCCAGTACAGCGCTTCGTAGCCCTAGGAAGCTCCTCCGAAGGCACCGGTGATACCGCCCGCATGCGTCCCCCCACCCCACCCAGTGCAGCGTTTCGTGGCCCCATCAGGAGCTCCACCGACGACCCCCTGTGCTACCGCCCGCATGCGTTCCCCCCCACCCAGTGCAGCGCTTCGTGGCCCCATAGGGAGCTTCACCGAAGACGATATTGACAATTGCGGCACCCATAACTGCATGTGACTGGGTCTTTCGCCATGATCATTTTCAAAATGTTGTTCCCGCTGAGGCGTTGGCCTCATTTTCGGGCTTCTGCTCGTTCCGAATCGTGCTCCCGCTGCAGCGCTGGCCTCATTTCTGCGCTTCCGCTCGTTCCGAATCGTGTTCCCAGTGCAGCGCTGGCCTCAATCTG